GAGTTTACTCAACCTGTCAAGAAATGTTCCTCCAGGAAGGCAACACGTGTAGAGCAAAGGGTTTTTCCTGCTCTGTGGCATTTTGGCTTTCAAATGAAGACAATTCCCTTCCAAATGAATCCCCAGATGACCAGCACTCCGGCACAGAGCTGAGGTGACCATGTCACGCTGGGGGGGGGCAGCACCAAACAGCACGACAGCTCATCATCCCAACAGAGTCAGATGCTGGAATACGCGCTCCAGGCAACGCTGGTGCCAAAACACAGCAGCAACAACAACAAACCTCAGGCTCCCTGCACTGCCACTGTCCCTAAGATGAAAGTCAGATGAGGAGATACCTGGCAGTGTTTTGAATCACAAAAGAAAGCATTTTATGAGACTCTTGACGGGTAAAGGAATAACCAGCTGGACACCGTGCAAAATAAGGGAATGAAAATGTTATTTGCGCACTGGGAAGAGTTATTAACATTTTCCATTAGAAGAAACTTGAGAGGGTTTCTTGGAGTTCATGGGTTTATCCCACGTTCTGATACTATTCTTGGGTAGACATTTGCATTAGAGAAGTGACACATTTTCAAAATTCACGGGGAGTGGGGAGGGCAGAGGTAGGCAGAGAAAACACACACCCCCAACTGCAGGCAACAAGATTCCAACCATTTGAGAAACTGAGTGTAAGAACTAAGAAATTATAAGACTCATTAAAACACGTGTCTTAAAGAAACAAGTCCTTTAGATCCATTAGAGGCTACAGATTATCTGTTGGTTTGGAGTGCTGGGGTTTCCCAAAACCATAAAACCACCCAAAAACCATAAAGGATTGATATGATTCCTTTGCAAGCCTCAACTTTATGTATTTTATCAATGAGGGATGGGTCACTTTGTGGTGCTATTGGTTATGTCAACAGAGTCCTGAGAAACAGATTTCCACTTACTGGGAGAGACCCCAGAATTCCAGAATGGTTTGGGTTGCAAGGGACCTTAAAGATTATCTATTCCCACCCCCTGTCATGGCAGGGACACCTTCCACTATCCCAGGTTGCTCCAAACCCCATCCAACCTGGCCTTGAGCACTTCCAGGGATGGGGCAGCCACAGCTCCTCTGGACAACCCCTGCCAGGGCCTCCCCACCCTCACAGCCAACAATTCCCTCCCAAATATCCGACCTAACCCTGCCCCCTCCTTCACCTGAGATGGATTAGTCAGACCTCTAAACAGCTCTTGCCGGTAACAGGCATCAATTAACCGACAGCAAGGACTTCACAAAAATGGGATTTGCATGAGACAAGCAGCCCGGCCGAGCGGCAGAAGCCAAACTCAGCCACGACAGGCCCCAGTGAGCAGCTCTTCCCAGTGCTCTCCAAGAGGAAAACGCTGCTTTCGAGGATGTGTCTGAATTGCAGGAATATTCACGCTATACTCGTGCTGGTTTTGGCCCAGCAAGCACAGCCTGTGTCGGCACGGGTTGGAGGAGACAACTGGCAGCCCCAGCTGTGCTCCCGAATCCCATGGGAATGTTTTTCCCCACTGCCAAGCCACACAGTAGCAGAGATAGGCCAGCCTGGACTGAAAAGATGGGTATCACTTGCCTTTTTCACAAGAAGGAAAACAAAAAGCCCAAATATTTTGCTTGTTGGGTGGTTAAGACATAAGAACCCCACTGTGGGTTTTGCTTGTTAAGAGTAACACCAAAAACGCCATCCTGAGTCAAAATCTCAGAGTTAGGGACTGCTTCGTAATGCCTGTTCCTGACCAGAAAAAAGAAACAAAAACCTGACAAAAAAATGGGGGCTTAGCACAGAACACAGGTAAAGAAATGAGACAGCGAGCACTGGGAAAACCCATCTGCTGCCCAGGAAACAGGAGCCAATGACCACAAGGTCCCCTCCAGTTCAGCGTTTTTTGGGGGGTTTCCAGAGCAGAAAAATTGCCTCCAGACCAGGAGCCAATTCCCAATGGGCTGCCGTGATCTTGGCGTGGAACAGGTACCATGTGGAGTATTCCCACCCTGGTGAAATCATTAACCGTGGGCAGCAGGAGGAAAGCCCTGGGAAAACGGGCAAGGCAGCTGGGAGAGGTGATGGGAGTCAAAGAGCAAGGAGGAAAAAAGTCAGGCAGCAGAGAATGGAAGGGAAAAAAGAACCAATACACACATAATACAGCCAGAAGGAGAGAGACAAACTCTGAAAACTCAAGATTAAGGTGTTGTGGCATTTCAGGATGTAACAGTGATGAAAAGCAGGCTTGGGAGGGGCAAGCAAAATTTGGGAATACATCAACAACATTCAACTCATCAGCTGCACAATCCCAGAGATCCAGGCTACAAATATCCCAGGGAAGACGATGATGATGATCTTCCCCATCCCACCTGAACAGCACAAAAACAACCCTCCAATTTTCCAATTTCTCCATGTCTCATTGAGACACAGCCTAAGTGAAAGCAATTCAATAATCATGTTTTTCTTGTTGTCTGCATTTGCTGCTTTTGCTCTGACTTGACAACTGCCAAAATCCATCCCCACGTGTAAACAAACAGGAGAGCTAACAGTCCCCACTTGAAAAAATCAGAGAATTCCAGAGGACTATTTTGGACTTCCCTCCTGAAAACAAGGCAGCAAGGAGTTCAAGAACTGTCTGTACCACAGCTGAGCAGCTGGAAAAATTTGCTCAGGGAAGAAAAGTCAAATATCCCTGCTCCAGAATCCCTGAACACTCAGCTGAACCCATGCAAACACCCTGTTCTGGAAGGAAAAATGGAAAAGAAGAGGCATCCCAAAGCCAGGAGTGGGTGCAGATAACGCTGCACGTAACAACGCTCTCAGATGGTACATGAAGTTAAGGGACTTGTCAGGGGGAGACAGATCTCTCTCCCCATCATCACATTATCAGGCTGTGGCTCATTTCTGATGCTATTTCTGCATAGAAACGAGCTGAAGATTACTCAGTACTTGATACTGAGCCGTGCAGAGAACACACCCCACCTTCTGAGACGTTACTATCTCAGATATCACAGATTCCTCCAGGAGAACAGAAATATCTGCAAGATAATCACCTGCATGTGACACCCCTGTCAGGAAACAAAGTTACTTAATCTCCCCCACACACATGTGAGACTCGCAGCACAAGAAACCCAGACATTTTAGAGGCAAGTTATTGTACCCCGCTATCAACACACAGGATTTATCAGGTGCGTGCAAAGGCAACAGGAGGTCACAGAGTGGTCATCGAGGCTCTCAGTGTTTGGATTTAAACACAGAACAGCTTCTCCAGCATCTCTGTGAATCCTAAATACTCTCTGAACCATTTCCAGCTGCTCCAGGCTCCGAATTGTTTGGGTTTGGACTGGCATAACAGGGGTGTTCCACTGTCAGCAGTAATCTATTATCCCCACGCTGGTAAAATATTTGGTGGAGTTAAGCCCCCGATATTTTTTTGAGCAAGAAGAGACCTCACATGGGGGAAAACAACTGGGGGAAAAAAAAAAAAAAAAAAAAAAAAAGAACAACACGAACCTCAACTTCAGCAAACAACTCACAGGAGCACACCACCAGCAGTGCTGAGAAGCCCAGAGAGGCGACAGCCTCGTCCTTTGCAAAGCCCCAGCAAGAACCACAGGGACTAGAATTCAGGGACCGAGGGGCTGCACTACTGGGGGGACAACACAACAGCCCCCCAAAGCCCTGGGGATGCACAGGCAAGCAGGACAAGGGGGTCTCCAGATCCTTGAGGGATGCAGGAGTGAGGGCAGGCAGGAAAGCCGGAGCCCATCAGCAGCTCCTGAGCACCAGGTGCCATCCCAGCCCCCCTGCCATGAGGGTCCCCATCGCTGTGGGGATCCTCCCCACCCCACAGTGTCCCTCGCTCTGTGAGACGCCCACAACGCCTCTCACCACCCTCTCACACGCTGATCCCTCGCTCTGAGGGACACCCACAACACCCCTCACGTTGTGAGGGACCCACTCACAGCCTCCCCAACCCTGAGGGGCTCCCCCCGAACCTTTTGGGGACCCTCTCCCGCTTGGTGTGTCCTTTGCTCTGTGAGACCCCTCACAGCCCCCCAGCCCTAAGGGACACCTCTCACAGTCGCCTAAGCCATGAAGGACCCCCGTCACAGCAACCCCAGCCCTGAGGGTTCCCCTTCAAAGCCCCCCCCCTTCCCCCCCCACCATG